GTCACGGAGGGCGCGTAGCGGTCTTAATTAATTCGATCGTGCCCTTCCGTAGCCCGATGCCGTTTCCATCGTCGCCGAGAGCACAGCCGCGTTCTCGGCGTGGGTGGGAGCGGGCGAGTTCCGCACGCCGGGGGCGACGAGAGGAAATTGGCTCGGTTCGGAGACGTCCTGCCTGGACGCAGCATCCTTAATACTGTAAAGTAAGTTTAATGAAGGACGCAGTCGCGCATCGACGCCTACTAGGTGTTAGAGAGTTCGGTTCGTCGTTCAACATTGGATAACATAATAAATATTCGTATTAAATTGCACTTGAACGATGAAGTTAACACAGATTTAAACACTGAAATAGTAATAATTAAATTAGAAATATTTGCCTCCGTCTTGATAAATTGCTGTTTGAATATAAAGCCAATGACGCCGTCTTTTTTTAGTAAATTATCTAATTTAGCTAAAGAATTTTTTTTTTCAATTGTATTATACAGGGTGAGTCCAAACTTCTGTCACAAAATTCGCAGACGTATCCTGTACCTCAAAATTAAAAATAACTATCATAATTTTATAATTCATCATTTTATCATAATTAAGATTAAGATTCCTGAGAGACGATATGATTTGAACATAATAAAATGTAAAGCACAATGTTACAGTCAACATTACGTAGCAATTAAATTCTAAGCTATATCGCAGAGAAGAAAGAAAGAGAGAGAGAGAGAAAAAAAGCAAGTGCAGAATAGAAATGAACGGTGGAGGGGACTGCGATGCCGAGAACCTGCGTCCGGAAAAGAAGTAATGACACGGAAGGGCAAAGTGGATGCCGCAGAACGGCGATCACTGGATGGCGGGAAAGGGAGACGAAGGAAGGGCGGTTTAAGCAAGAAAGGAGGGTGAGTAAGAAGCGAAGGAGCACGATGGGGTCTGGGTCGGACAGCGAAGGCAGGAAGGCAGAGAGGGAACTCATCAGACGCATCAGTTGCCCCTGGCGCCGCGCTTCATCCCTTCGAACTGCGCGTTTCTCGTGTCTACAGAGTGTTTTTCGTTCCTTCCTTATCAGCACCTTCTTATGTCTCTTTCCTTCCCCCTCCCCTCCCCGTCTCCCTTCTGCATTTTGTCCAACATTTCACAGCACTCTCCGAGATAGCGTGCGATTTTAGCGTCGTTGCTTAATTCACCGGTGCATTTCGATATGCATTCCGCGCGCAAACTTCGGAAAATATATCTATGCGATCGTCTTTGCGAATGAAATATTATAAGTAGAGTAGTGCACCATCGTTACAGTACAGTATACTACTTTACTAATATTAACAATAACAGTAAACATTTCTTCTGTTAGGTTTTTTTCTACTTTTCGACGGATTCGAATTTAGCGTATAAAAACTTACTCTTCTTCGGAAAGGAATAATTAATTCATTTCATTTTATCTTGACGTTATTATATTTGTATAATTTTATTGTTATATCACAAAATGAAAATTACGCGTTATTGATGACTAATTCGGGAGCTTCCAATTTGAAAGTATTATTCTATAGGTTGAGACCCAACTCTTTTCTTCCGTAACACGAACGATCCTGGAAATTGGTCGCCATTAAGTAGGCTCCGATAGAATAGCGCTCTCGTTTGTTCGGTGAACGATTTCAAAAATTGGGCACCATCGATCGAGGTCCGCTCTCAGATCGTTAGATCGTTATGTACGCATCACGTAACGGAGCAAAGAATAGTTAACTATCGTAATTACGCGGGGTACTTTTCCACAATCTAACTGCACGCGCGTCTATTAGTCGCATTTCTTTGTGATTATATGCGCTCCGAAAACTTTTTTTCCGCGCGGGATCACGCGTAGATGCACCTGCCTGTGGTCCTTCATTATATAGATTTATTACGTGTTTATAGTTTCTCATTTTATCCATCAAAGTTACGAAATCGCTTCATCGAAAGGGGTGCACCTATTATTATCATTTCAGTTTCGTAGATGATCCTCCGCATTCATCGTGATCAAAATTTCAAAAAACTAAACCGCGATCATTATAGAAATTATTCGACATATAACAGAAAAATATAATTCGGCTTTTGTGAAATTACTGTGGCGTCACACCAACAGAAGCTTTTTGAAATTTAAATCGAAATCTTCTTTACATTTATCGAATGATGTTATCTCGTTTTTGTTCCGAAAAATTTATTAACAAAATATATTAAAACAAATAAACGTAAAAACTGAATTCGAAATTCTCCCTTCCACTCGCTAGTGTCGTTCAGAACATTTGTTCGATCTACACCTGCCATAATCGATCGAAATTGGTTGCACGCTACTCACGAGAAGGCGAATAGCTATTCACGGCGCCCTGTGATCTGACGACGACGGGGCCAATGATTATTGTTGTTGCGCAGGTGCACTCGCTAAGCAGGTAGTTTCTCGCCTTCCTGAAATTTCTTTTAAATTCCTGGACTGCCCGAACTAGGTAAAAGGGTGGTCCGCCTTCCCCGATAAGTAGATTCTTGTTATTCGCTCGGGAGTTGCACGCGCACGTTTCCCTCTCAAAGAACACAGATGCGACGCAGTTTTCCGTTTCACGGCGTAATTAATTAAGCGAAAGAAAGGAAGGGCGAGGCGGACCGGGCGAAAGAAACGACGGCTCGGTTAATTGCTCTCCAAGGTGCGTGTCCGAATTTCGACGGAGTCGCCACGCCCCGTGTGCAGGCGTTATATTACACAAACCGCCGCTTTATTCTCTTCCGCCGCTCTTCCGTAAAATTTCAAAGATGGTCTCTCACGAACTATCGCATTCTTGCAATCATCGCGCAATCTTCAATCAATAATAACTTTATTTATATGTTAAATATTTTCTAGAGAGATAAAAATTAATATTAATTTACAATTAAAAATAATTAATTTGTGCTCAAAAGTGCGACAATTAGATGCAATAGCAATTGAAACTCATTTTACTCGCAATTAGAGCTAAAAAATTCGCTTAATCACCATCCTGATAGTTTCTGCACGCATGCCATATGTGATTTTCTTGTGTGCATCTTTCACCAGATTAGATCCATTAATAATATAGTGTTGCGGTCTTTTTCTTGTGGGAGAGAAAAAGCATTGCAGCGCTACACATATATTATGCATCAGGCAAACGCGCAGAAAAAGGAGGGAGAAAACTATGAGCGAATGCGGCGAAAAAGAAATTCCTTATTTTCGGAAGAAAACCGTCAACAGTTTTAGATTCCGGTGTCATCGCGTGTGAATCAGAATATTGATTTCTTCTCTTCGTCGAGAGCCACGCTTTAAATATTTCGTATTATCTTACGTATAATGTTATATAAATTATAATCTTAATGTGCAAAATATTAACGATAATAAGGCAAAATTTTATCAATTTAAAAAAAAAAGTTTTTTCTTCACAAAACGTGTGTTTGGTTAGATGTCTCTGCTATGCGACAGGCGGGATGGATTTTCGTTTTTGTAGAAATAATTGAAGCCAAAGTGCGCACATCGATTCGCGAGTCTTCCTCTTTCTTCTTTACTCTCTCTTTCTCCGTCTCGTTTATGAAGAACGCGATCGTATCGGTTGATCTCTCACCCATAATTGCCGTGATTGTTGCGCGATCACGTAACGTGATCCACGTGGCAGAACTGATCCATTTTATATGTACGTATGTACACACACACGCATTGTGTGTGTGCGTTAGGTTAGGTTTTATTTGCCGAGCGACAAAAAATTGATTGTGTCGCTACGTGCCGCGTCAGGTTCACGTTGCGGCGTAGAAGTGATGCGATAACGCTCACCGATCGTAAGCTCGTCGGATGATAATCGCTTTTTTCCTACTTACACAACGTGGCCTCGATCGATTCTTTGTAACTTTTTTTTTTCATAATGAGAAAAATTTCCATAAACGCTTCACGATGGTCGGAGAGCTATGAATGGATCTTACACCTTAGTCTATCAGTTCAATAATGCGTAAAGTGTATAACCCGCGAAGTCAAAGATTGAGAACGGGAAGACGTCGATAAAAAAGTGCGCGTGGACAATTGACGACGGAAAATCCCTCGTTAAAATACCTTCGGTAAACAAAATTGCGGTAAAAGAATTTAGCTCGCTTGCTAGACAGACAACCGTCCGTTTACGTCACGTGTGGTGAACCTAAAAGGCATGCGAATAGTTAATTCGCCTCGGGTGCAAACGAGCAAGATTTAACGATCGGTAATCGGTTTCTCCGGCAGCGCGTTTCGGTCGTTAGGACTCGCGCATCGCGCCGCGCCGAGACGCTTCGGCAAAAAGTTTAATGACCAAGAAAAAGTCGTATTAACAATCCCATCGACCACCAGTTTGCCGCCGCCTTTTCCCTGCGAGAAGCGTACGCCGAAGGTCGCTCCCGCAAACGACGCAAATTGTGACGAAAAAGAGGAACAGAGGATATAATAATCGATTGAACAGAAGAGATTACTCAATACTTCAAAAGATGAAAAAGCGAAAAGATGTAGCGATAGATTTAGATTATGCTACAACAAATAAATAAAAACGCGAATAATTTTAATTGCTTCATAAACATCGATTATTTCGTTAAAAAGTTTACTAACTGTAAGAAATAACACAAGTCAATTCCAAAAATTTGAATTGAAGGAAATAATTACGAAGAATTCAAATTTCTGAAGCAACCGTTTTCGAAACATCGACAAAGTATCAGAAGAATATAATTAGAATATATTCATATGTATATCGGATTAATTTTTTTGCATACATTTTACTTACTAAATAAAGATTATTGTTTGAGTACTTACCTTAAACAGCCATTTCTTATCCACGCATGTCGAGCTTCGTGATATCAAAACCAGTTTATATTATTTCGAAGAAGATCGATCGTTGCGGGGGAAAAAATAAAAAAAGTCATTCTTCTGCTGCTAAAAAAATAAATAAAAATTCTTAGATTAGCTTCAGGAAAACAAGGATAGATGGAGAATCGAGTTTGGTCTCGGTTCGGTTAACAGATAAGAGTATTTAAAACACAGTGTGTACAGTTCAATATATATGCCTATATTGACTGCGCGTCTAAGTACATTGAATAAGGAATTCAAATCCCAGGATATTTAGCAATTATAGACGTAAATTAGGTGGTGAGATGGTGACTCCTTGCTACGCTAAACGCGATTATTAGTCGCGCGTCCACGAAAAACGCTCGCTCACTACTCGCTCGCGCTTACACATGCAAGCATACCGCACACTCATCGTTCTTTTTTTCTCTTTCTCAGTCTCTCCCTCGCCGTATACACCTAGATAACATCAAAATAAATCTATATCTCGCAAATAGCAATAGTTCCGATCAGGGGGCCTATGTACATGAATGGCGGACTAAACACACGTGCTTTTTCTCTCTTTCTTTCTGATTCGCTCTCTCTCGCGCACTCATTGTCCCTTTCTCTCCCTCTTTCTCTCCCCCTCTTCCTTTCGCAATAATCGTAAACTAATTACTCCATCATTTACATACATACAGTTATCTTGCAGCGCGTTTTTTTTTTTTACGCGCAACTACATCAGAAGAATTTTTGTTGTCGTAACTGCGAATTTACGGGACAGAACACCTCTGTCAAAAGTGATAGTGGTTTACTTCCACATCATTTTCTCGAAAAAAAAATCGCAGAAATTCATTAGGCGTATAATTTTTACAATCCTTTCTCGTAGTCGTTGCACTTTGGCATTCGGATCCGCGCGAAACGTTGTTCGAAACGCTCGCGCCGCTGCGCGGCGACAAGTATTATATATATATACAAGATGTACTCGAGATCACGAATCAAAATATAGCGAGAAAATTTTTATAAAATTAAATAATAAAAGTCTCTGTAACGTTTCAAAAAACTTTTGGAAATACCAAAGAGTTAAAGCCAATCAATCAAATTTTCTGGTAAAACGCTTATTTATAAAGTTGTGTGAGCGATAAAGTGTCGCAAAGACTTACTTGGTTTTTTGAGAATTTTCCTGTTACGATCTTTTGATTCGTGAATTCTGGAACATTATATAGTTGGAATTCCAGCTGAGGAAGATTTTCGCAGACGAAAATTGTAGCCGCACACCGATGCGATTTCCAGTTTCGCGCGCGCGCGCGCTTCACGAGATGCATTCCTATTTACAAAGACAAATAGCCTCGGGGTGGGATGAAAAGGTTTAGCGGAGCCCTTTACCACGGTCTCCACATGCCCTCCTCATCTTTGACGGGTTGCTGGCCGACGGGCGACGGAGACGGCATGCCGACGGCGATTTCGCTGTCCGCGTGACTAGACGGCCTGTCCTCGTGGATAACGGGCCCAGCGGACTCGCCGCTCGGTGGACGAACCGACGACGCCTGCGGATGTTGCCGCAGATGATGTTCGACGTGACCGGAATGCGTCGAGCCCTTTGAGCTGGCGGTCTTCATTTTCTTGGACGTGGTGGTGAAGTCGAGCGGCTGCTCCGGCTGCTCCATCCGCGGGCTCTTGCTCGGCTTGAGGCCGCTGGTCGGATCCTGCCACTCCTGGCCGAGGTCCTCGTGCGGCCGCTTCACCAGCTTATCGGTGGCCTTGAGTAGCGACATGTTGGTCGCCGCCCAGATCGCCGTGGGCGGATTCGGTCCGATGCTGATGCCGTTCGCCGCGGCCGCCGCCGCCAGTTGCACGTAGTGGCTCGGCAGCAGGAAGACCACCTGGCCGTCCGGCAGCCGCGAGGGTATCACTTGCACCACGGACAGCATGTTGGGGTTCTGCTGCGACGTGGAGGCCTGATCGACCGGCAGATTTGCCGGATGGTGCGGGTGGTGCGGGTCCAGAGTCGCCGGGTTCACTTGACTGAAGGCCGAGGTCGGCCGGCTGCTGTTGTTGTTCTCGTCGCCGGCGGTAGTGCTGCTGTCGGGTCGGGCCGCCTCCACCATTTCCGGGATCTCGGACTTGATTAGGCCGGCCGGCGTGAGCGCCGCGCTGCAATGCGGCCCGACCGGCACGTGGTGGTCCAGCGGGCCCGGGCTCGTCGTTCCCGCAACGCGATCCGTCACGCTGCCTGGGCTGCTGCCCAGACCGCTGTCGGGCCGCGAGCCCAGATCCAAATCTAACTCCGACACGCAACTATCCAAGTGACGCAGCAGCCGCTGCTTCACCGCCGGATCCATCGGCGTGCTGTTGCCCGTGATGATGTCCGGCGCATCGAGATAGCGGCTCACCTAAAACACAGCAACGAGACCGTCGATGCTGAAATCGGTCGACGCAAATGCACCGTGTAACGCGTGATAAATGATAATGCCGAGTGATTCCATAAATGGGGACTCGTAAACAAATAAAAACATTTCTTTTCAATTTTTCGACAAATTTAGAGGCTGGGTGTATTACAGAAACAAATATCGTGTATGTGTAGATTAAGTAACAACTAGTTAAAAGTCATCAAAAATATTGCGTATCTACAAAAATTCCACTGTATTGTGACGAGCATTCTAATGTTCTTCACAAGCGCTTTTTTACTTTTAAACTGTTTATATATTATTTTAATAACTTTCTCGTGAATATAAATATTTTTACATTATTTTTGAAACCTGTAATTTTATTTAAAGCAATTAAAAAAATAAAAAATTAGTCCATTGGAATAATTTTTCAACGTAGTGTTCATAATCCAAACGCCTGCTGGTCAACGGGCGGAAAAATGTATTGGAAATCTCATATTCGACCGCGGACGTGGTAACGCGCGTCAGTCATTATCGACCGCCTGGCGTAATTGAATATTTCGCGTTCGCTCTTTAATCCGCGGTTCGCTCGAGTAACGGCGCCGCGTGATTATTTGTTACCCGATACTCCCCCCGACCGCGACCCGCCGAGCCCCGGCCCGTAATTTATTTCGTACGTGGCCGGCGATAACAACCGGCGCGATAAAACGCTCTTTAATTCGTGCGTCGAGCGGCGGCGCGTCGACGCGCTGCGTACTTTTCGTGGTCGTTATTATCGCTGCGAGTCACTAATTAACGCGCGCTTAGAACGGCACGCTGATTAACGCGCCGCGCGCAAGTAATCGGGTCGAATTTTGTAATAATGCGTTTCGACGGTTTTTGATATTCGAAAATAAAGATCGAAGAAAGAGGTTAAATTGAAAATTTGCTGAAAAAGATTCAATTTAAAATAATGTACATGTTTTTGATAAGTTTAGAATGAAATCTGTGATAAACTTTTATCCAATTTACAATCCAAAGTAGAGAAATTCAAACAAGTTGCGCGCAATTTAGAAATTTTCTCCAAAAATATGAGGAGTTAGCTAATTCACCGATTATTTTATATATGATTAGTGATACACGCGCGTTAAAAAAAAGGGTCAGAGAAGATCAAAAAGTGACGGCGCGTGACCGCCACGGCGGGGTCGCGGCCGGAAGAGAAACGAATTGCGAGTGGAAGCGGCGCGATTGATCTCTAATCGCGTAACGTATCGCGCGCTATATTTCACACAGCGGCGACGGCGGCGGCGGCGTATCGAACGCGCGTCACTCGCCGGCGGAACTATCGTCGCCGCTGCCGGCGGACAATAGTTTCGCCATCGTGCCAAAGCGCACGAGAGAGCTTTTATGGGTCGCTGCTTCAAAATAAAGCAACCGAATCCGTCGCCGCCGCCGCCACACGCTAGGAAGGTTGCGCGCGAGAGCGGGATTCATGTAGTCGGCATTGAGAGATCGCATATATCGAGTGGAATCGCGAATTTGGGTTAATCGCATGCGTCGGAAATTAGGAGAATGGAATTTTCGTTTTCTATACATTGAAATACGCTTCTTTGAACGTAAAATATTACTAATTGTAAATAAAATTACTAAAATAAATATTTAATAATGATTAATTATTTTACTTTGCGAAATATTTCCACGGATTAACTTTTTCTACGAGAGAGAAAGAGATTTTGTGTTTTTATAAAACAGGAAAGATTTCACGCGTGAAAAGTCTTTGACCTGGTTTTCGTAGATTGCGTTTCGTCCCTTCCCGCATTGCAATCTGAGATCTGCGATTCAACGCGTCGTTTACGATACACAATGTCTTAAAACACTCGCTTCACCGGTCCTTTGATCGCAAATTGAATCTTTGATTTTATATTAAAATTTCATTAAAAATCTAATTTCTAGCTTATTATCTACTTGCATTAGCGCCAAGATTTTCTCAGACCTTGTTAATTTTTACGCGCACGAAACTCCCGAGAAACGTCGATGCTTTGGTTTCGAAGTAACCGGCTACCACTCCTGTTTTATTCTCCGACAGAGAGAAACGAACGATGGTAGTTCTCAAACACGGTGTATAATACGAGCGCACGTTTCACGCTCGTGGAAGCATCAGACCTGTGCTCTCGCACGAAGGAGAATCCCGGAGAATGGTATGGCGAAACGTGTCGCCTTGGTCGACCGCCGGTTTTATAAGACCGTAAAGTTTGCCCCGCGGGAACCTTCGCTCCTGCTTCTCCTCTTCCTCTTCCTTCCTTCCTTCCTTCCTCTCTCTCTCTCTCTCTCTCTCTCTCTCTCTCTCTCTCTACTCTCTCTCTCTCTCTCTCTCTCTCTCTCTCTCTCTCTCTCTCTCTCTCTCTCTCTCTCTCTTTCCTTCCTTCTTCCTTCCTTCCTTCCTTCCTTCCTTCCTTCCTTCCTTTCTTCCTTTCTTCATTTTTTCCTTCCTTCTTTCTTTCCTTCTTTTCTTCTTTCTCCTTTCTTCCCACCTATCCACCTCGCCCGCCCTTGCCATATATCACATGACGGCGTGCTGTGATTTCGCTCGACGTTCGTCTCGTCGCTCGAAATTTCTCACACGCTCTCTGTACCATCGTTCTTTCTACCTTCCACTTCCTCCCCCCCAACACAGAGCGGAATTCGATCCTTTTTCATTCCCCTCTCGTGACGAATTTACAACACTTTTCTTAATCAAAATAAAAAAAATGTTTTCATTCTTTTCATTCTAGATGAAAAGTTTGAAAACCGCGCGAAATCGATTAATTTGACTGAATTTACTCCAAAGTGTACAGCTGCAAATTTATAACATATTCTTTTTAAAGAAACGGGCATTGCCTAAATCGAAATAGTAATAGATATTTCGACGCTGCTACACCGATTTGTTTCGTTACTGTAAAAATGCAAAAGCTGCGGCCGCTTTCTTAAAGAAAATACCATAAATTTCGCTATTGCATGTTTTTAAGAATTTTTAAAAAAAATTGCTACATTTGTTTCTAACACAGCACACATATACAAAGCCATACGCGCCTCATGACCGCATCTTTCGAGCACTATCCTAGTCGAGAAGTCGACTTTATCGGTGAGTTCTGATAAGGCGGTTGCACACAAGTACAGCGAGCTAGTGCGCGCGGGCGGGTTTTGTGCCGTGACAAGTGCGCTTTGTCGAGGCGAGCGAGCCGACAATCGTTTCGACGCCTCGAGTTCCGCCAGTGTGCTGCCGTGCCGTGTCGATGAAGATATACGACGGAAATGCCAGGCGCAGCAGCGTATCGCGTCGCGTATCGTAACGAGGCTGAGCAAAATGCTCAGGAAAAAAAAAAAGTTCGTCGTGAACATCAAAACAGTGTTCCTCTTTTTCTCTCTTTGTGCTTCTGCTTTAAAATTATAATTATAAAAAATGTATTTACATTTATTTATATATAATTACAATTATAAAAAAAATTAATGTATCATAAATTGCACGCGAACAATCAAAACAAAATTTATCCACCGAATACGTTCAACGAACAAATTCCTTGCCGTAGAGGCTTAATTGTTTAATTTGAAATGTTTAACACTTTACAACCTCCATCGATCTTCGTGCGTAAAAACGAAAAACGAAAAATCTTTATTCTTCGTTTTCCCCCGGTTAGGCAATATCTCAGGCCTGACCATAAGGCTTATACGGTAGATTCAGCGTGACGGCGCTTACGGGGTGTCCGCTTTCAACGAGTTACCTCTCGTTTCGCGGCTGGACGTCTCTTAACGAACGAGCGGCGAACGCAAGACTTTCCAGCGACAAACCCGATACCTTCGGTCGTTCGAAGGATGGCAGCGGGGTGATTTCGGTGGGTTCTTCTTCTACCATATAGGATCTCCGCTGTCCCCATCCCTTTCTGCCGTGTAACACGAACCAGTTCCGCCGAGTTCTCCGATTACACGCTCCCCAGACGCGCTGGAATTCGACTTTTTTCACCACCCTCTCTCTTTCTCTCTCTGTTCCAACCCCGCCTACCCTTTCCCCGTTTTACTCGCTGTGGCGAAACGAGTATAATGGCAAAAACCCGAGTTTTTCCACATCGGAATCGTCTTACCGGTGATTTTCCGAAGATATAATATCGATCGATAGCATCCTTGTGACTCCTCACAGTTAAGTTACTCATCGCGAGAAAAATCTTTAAACGTGCATTTTTAAAGCAGATTTTTATATCGAGGGAAAAAATAAAATTTTAAAACGTAAAATTTATACGTCGATACCTTATATTGTTATTTGTGAATTAAAAATGTTCTTACCTCTCTCGAACAGTCCTGATATCCGGCTTTGTACCTAGACAGGCCAGGCTGAGCAAGCGATCTCTGCCGCTGCAGATGCCTGACTGTAAGTTCCAAAATATCGGCTTTCTCGAGCTTGCTATGTTTGGTGTTCTCTAGCCGAGCGCTGTCGAGGATGAGCGCCTTTAGCGCCGCCAAGGATTGATTAATCCTCGCTCGCCGTCGTTTTTCCATTAGTGGTTTGTTAGCCTGAAAAGGAAAAAGAGAACGATTTTTTAAGTACATTTATAAATAATGCAATTCGTGTTTTTTTTTCTTAAATTAAAACACAGGTCTTATACAATGTTATTTGCATTCCTAAGTACATATTATTACTCCGATAAAAGTAGATAAGGCTCCAAAGTCAATCAAGCATTGCTTATATTCGAACTATTCGAATTGTCAAACTTGAAGCTCAAATGTTTTTGATTCAAACATCTGTTCGAAAATCTTTTGTCTAAAGTCTAGACTAGGTTCAGACTAAGGTATCTGAGTCCAATCTGGCTTGTTCCATTGTGTCTCGCTTCCATATAGTTCCATAAAGTCTAGCTTGACTATAGAATACCATGAAAAATTTTGCCATCTCAGATCTTGAATGCAAGCAGAATCGGATTTAGATCCGGATTCAGGTCAGGCGAGACTGGTCATCTTCTTTTTTTTTTGTTTTTTTTTTTTAACACAGATTTCTGTCCCTTCAGAAATTACTATTCTAGTACTATTTTTTATTTTTACCTCTTTCTCCTTTTATATATTTTGGAAACTTTAAAAAATTATCGTAGTTATGATATATGTTTGCAATATCCTCCATCGTGAAGTGTAAAATATCAAAATTCTGCTAGTGATGGATAACGGAAGATTCGCTTTTACGAGCATATCAACGCTCCAGCGAGCTCCTTCTCTTTTTTTGCGGCTTTCGACTCGCTGGCAAAGTGCCGACATCGTTCGCGGCGCGATCCGTAAAGACAACCGGGAGGCGGACGAGGCGAGGGGGCAATCGTGAAAGCTTCGACGGAACTGCGAGATAGTCACAGACGAATGGAGGTGAAGTCGGATAAAGTGGACTATACCGGAATTGATGACAGTGCCAGCTCGAAGGCGTATGCGCCGCGTCAGGTGTCCCGAATATGCACATCAGCAACACACTTGTTTATCGTGCGACAATTCCGTATTAAACATGCCACACGATAAGTTCCGCTGAATGCGTTAATTGGTTGCTGAGATCGAGAAATTTCTCAATAACTTTACGATTAATATATTTTTTAACAGAATTTTTGGAAAAAGTCGCGACGGAAATCCGTAAGATAAATCGTTATCCTAATTAATATAATTTTAGCAGAATTTTTGGAAAAAGTCGCGACGGAAATCCGTAAGATAAATCGTTATCCTAGAGAGTGATAATTTTTTCCAATCGAAGAACAATGCTATTCATGCTCAACTTTTATCACACTCCGTATAGCGCGCAGCTTTGACGGAGACGGTAAGTATACGGAAAAGGAAGCTGGCGGAAGACGTGCTGAGTGACAAGGGCGACAAGGACACGTTTGGGGAGCGAAAACGAGACGGCTGATAACAGAGTTCGACTGCGAGAGCAAGAGAAATAGAAGCGCAGAGATAGAACGTGTGAGCGGAGGAGACGAGACAAACTCGTGGAGTGACGTTTGAAAGAGAGAGAGAGAGAGAGAGAGAGAGAAACAGAGAGAGATAGAAGCAACGCCGACGTTTTACGTGGAAAGAAGATAGTGTGCGAGACGGCGAGACGGGATCCGCAAAGGCACGTCTACCGAGGGAGAAGGAGATGACAGACATTCACGGAGAAGCGAGCGAGAGAGAGAATTGTCGGAAGGGAGACAGCGAAAACGATGTTGCAAGCAGCAGGAACGGACTCGCGTCCGGATGAGAAGGAGATGGCAGATATCTCTCTGTGAGAGATGAAGGTAGCAAGCGACACACGAAGCGACAAGAGCAGATCTGGAAAGCGTGTGTGTGCGTGTGTGTAGGAACGAAAGAGAGAGAGAGAATGAGAAAGCGCAGTAGATGTGAGCGATAGAAACGGAGATAGCGGGAATAGGATAGCGAGCGGCACGAAGAACGACAAAGGCTGAAACTCGGCTCTAACGAGAGAGACGAAGGCCGCGACTGCCGCGCGAGACCGACAGAGAGCTAGAGGCGGTCGGCGAAAAGGATAACAAGCGACGACGAGGACGTGCCGAGCGAGCGAGCAACCGTAAGTATGTGAGAGATGGAATAAGCTGAAAGCAGAGGGAAAGGGGGTCGAAACCGGCGCGGTGCGTTCACACGGGAACGCCGCGACGAGTAAACAAACGAGCGAGCCACCGCGGTCACGCGTGCGCGCAGGCATGTGTGCGTGTGCATACATGTGTGCACACACGTGTTATCGCCGACTGGCGCGGCACTCTTGCTCCGCCGCGTCCTTCTATTATTACAAGAGACTGCGCGAGAAGGGGGTGAGGAGGGAGAGGACGAGACGCGCGTCTGTGGCGCGATGGACTCTCATGCGGACTTGGTCGCGCGTATGCGTGCGCGCGTGCAAAGAAGCGGGAGAAGAATTTCGTAACAGGGACGTTTAAATTACGCCTCGCCGAGGGATGAAACTGGGTTAGTCGCAGGATTTGCCTTCTTTTTTCCCTTCATTTCTATTCCATTTGTTGACCGGAAGTTGGTGACGTCCGAGCGAGCGAACTGTACAATTTGAAACTCGAAGACTCGCAGTCCAAAGCCGGACGAATATGAATATATTACAAATATATAAGCTTGTCTAAAAATATAATTGCAAATATTGAAAACAAAAACGTAATAATTTTTCTAATTTTTGCTAAAAGACTTATTTCAAACGACTATGTTGATAGCTAGAATAAATATATGTTGCGGCGCACCTCTCTCTCTCTCTCTTGTATACTTCGACATAAAATTTACTTCCCAGTAACACACAGTTTCACTTTTTTTGTTCTATATAATTTTTTTGGATTAATAAATGCTTCGTTGGATACTGTTCTCCGCCGATTCTTTTTGCGAAAAGAATTATGGTCTCTCTTTCCGCGAGACTCCAATTTGCGCTGCTTTTCCGATGGGTATCGAAAGATCGTCACGCTCGAGATAACTCCGGTCGTCGTGGCGCTCTTTCACCCAGCGTGACTTTCGACTGTGAAAAATAGCCATGCGCGCGCAAGAAGAGGAAGATAAAGGCAAACATAACGTTGCGCGCCGTGACGGCGACTTTGACGGTGCCGCTGATTAGCGCGTTACGCGCGATAAATCGCGTCTCGTCGTTTGTCATTTACGACTTCGTGTCACGTATGCGGCGCAGCATCGTGAATCATCGATGTGCAAACTTCGTGAAACGTTTCGGAATTCTTGAAACCGATTATTTTAACAACAGTCATTGATAATCGTGGCAGGTCACGGTCATCTTTTCCATGTGTAAACCTAAGGCCGCCACAGAAGCTTTAATAATTTTTCTTCAGTTAAACGCGCAGACTTATAACTGCATATAAAGCATGAACAATCTTAAGTATCACTTGTAACATAGTTTCAGTAGTGAGCTAAATTTGTGTCAACTGCAAAAAAATTCCAGAGTATATTGTAGCACTCGCAACATCTCCAATTAGAAAAAGGCAATTTTATTTTTCTTCTCCATCAGAGATGTGATATAAATACTTTAGAAAGAATATTAAATAATAATTTACTATTTTAATACTTTTTGTATATAAGCGACATGACAAAACTTAATTTAAAAAAAATCGATATTTCAAGTTACTTCCGTTTGACGCAGCAGACGTGACGTTATACGCTCGTTCATTCTATTGTCTTCGGATGCATCATCGAGAGCAGCGTACCGCCTTCGCGCATGATAAATCGATTAAAATGCGCGGGCTAGTGGCAACGAGCGACAGGTAATTAAGCCAGGCATAACGACAATCCGTTAAGTGCCGTCAATTAAGCCGTCGTCCGACGACGACAGAACCGACCGACGATGTCCGCCGTGTATTCCTCCTCCCCTTCCTTCATTCTCCTCCTCTTCCACCTATTGCTTCGAAATCCCGCGAAACTTTACCGCTCTCATTAACTCGACGCGCCCCTCTGGAATTCCCCCACCCGCCGCTTCGATCCCTCTGACCATAATCCGACGACGTGAACGCGATAAAAATTACGAATTTCTCGACGCGATGACGAAAGTAAAGAAGGAATAGACCATTGCTTACTAAATTTGGAAGCTTATACTGCATTCTACTAGATCTGAACTAATTTTTTCGCTTAATTAATATCAAAACCTTTCGCTTACGCGCGATGACGAGAATAGTAAAATGTCCATCAAATTCGTTAACACTGCTATTTTTTATATATTTTCAACTTTATCTCAAATAAATTTTCTATCCAAAACGTATTTCCCCATCTAAAATTCCCACATTATTAAGACCGGGCTCATATTCGCGGCGCGCATATCTCCGCCGCGAATCCATTCCGCTAATAAAGACGAGTGCGCGAAGTTACGCCCTTCCGTCGCCGGTAGAAACTTTCCTAATAGGAGACCACAGCCACTCCGTACGGCGTGGTACGCTCGAGCGGATGTACTCTCACGCGACGCGGATCACCTTAAAAGGGCACCCGCAGCCGCACTTCACGCACGCGTGCATCGCGAGATCACGCACGCATCTTGCCTACTTCGGAATTTCACGAAGTCGAGTCCTTTTTGCGTTTTTTACACATTACGCAATGCCGAACATAACGCGCATTAAGCGTCTCAGCTATTTTACGAGAGAACGAGAGAGTGTATACGCGTGCGTGTGTATGAATATTTCATGCAATTCGGGCAAGAAATATGGAAATCAAATTTATTTAAATATTATGTGATAATTGTGGATAAAAAAAAATTCCAGGCGCGAACGGCAAGTACATGGCAGCGATTATTTAGAAATTCAGGTAAAGTGCATTATTACTGCATTTTCTTATCAAGCGTAAGAACTCACGTTAAAATATGCGAGCAGAAGCTGCGGGGTCTCATGAATTAATTGGATAAAGTGAATTATACTTTTCGACGGTGCTAGGCCATGCGAGCGGCGACGCCCCGACGATTTGTGTGATAACCGCTCGTAGATACGTTCAATTACCGCAAATTGATGTTACAAGGCGCCGACACGCACCGTCCGTATCGCGACGTGCCCTTGCGACCCGCTGCGTTTCGCCACCCGACAAAGAGAAATAAGGAAATACATTTGTCACGTACTTCGGGACTTACGCTCGATTTCGTCATTAATAACGTCAACACTCGTTAACGAGAATTCGACGAGGAAAATTAATGGAAATAGCTATCAATCTTTTAACACCGTTATCTCGAAATAAAAGAGAGAATTTGTGAGATATTTGTGTGATATTATCGCAAAATAAACGCAATGACGAAAAACTTAGTTATGTTTTAACATAAATTTTGTCGCTCCTTCTTCGCATCTGCAAACTCGGCGATTCTTCGCGCAATTGCATGCAAATCGCATCGCGGCGAGTATAATTTTAATTTCGTTTTTCGACACCCGCATTTTGTCGTCTATAATTCGAGGCTTTGCGTGCGCGCTGCTTTTATTCCGCTTTTCATCGGGCTTTTAATCGCGCGTTCACGCAGAGGAGCAATATTTCTTTTATGCTTCGTGCAGTTTTATCGCTATCGGCACGTTTCTTTTTTTTACGATACGGAAATACGCAAAGGTCGAATCCTTGCGGAATTTCGCGAAATTCGCCGTGTTGAGAAATTGACCTACTTCGCGGAAATTAGAGGAAAGAAAAGCGTAGGTAACACCAAGTTCGCGCGCTCCTTTTTATGCATTCAAGTTTTTAAATCGCCAACTTTTCTCAGAGTCACGCTGTGAGCGTTATCGCTCGCGAGTCGCTGAGATTGCATCGGACGACGAGATCGTAACATTATCTCTTTTTTTATATTCAACATTTCGATATATGTAGAAAACATCTCGAAAACGTAAATTATACTATTAAAAAATAAATAATATTAAATAATTGCTATAAAAAGAAAATGCGAATTAATTTTCCATTACGGTAGTCGAAAATTCTTTGAGCAAAGGATTCCATTTTTTTCGAAACTCTGCATAATACACGCAGCTCGTGTCTATTTATCGCAAGTGTTACGCATGCACGTTTTGTATATTTGAAAATCCAAGTGATAAATTAGCGGATTTTCATATAAAAGATATTGGAGGATATCGAGATTGAACGACGAGGGATTGTGCAAACGAGCCACGTGTCCAGTATCGAATTCACGCCACAGCAGCGGCTTACAGCCGAAGATTAAGTGCGCTGGAGGGTTGAGAGGTAGGGTGAGTCGCGATCTGAGGTCATACGCTTTATTCTTCGCGCGCCCATACATCAAGTGTTCTTAAGATATTAAATCAAGCATATTAAATTATTATCTCTATGTCCGCACTTATGTATTCCATGCTTTCTCTTTTCTACTTTCTAAACTCTATTTTCATGCATTTTACACACTTTTCTCGATTGATATTTCAAGAAAATTAAAAATATCGTTGACATTAAAATCTTGCGTATATGAAATATAATTCCATTTTTAATAGGAAAAAAAATTCGTATTTTTAATCGCAAGACAAAATTAATCCCCGAATCGAAATTATTCGCATATTTGTTTGAGAAGTAAGTTTTCTTTTCTCTTACTCTTCGTCCGTCCGAGTGCTTCGGGCTCGGGCTGAGGCTCGGGCTGGGGCTCGGTGCCGGGCTCGGACCCTGATGGACGGCCTGCTGATGCTGGTGGTGCTGTCGGTGGCTACTGCCGGCTGATTTCTTCTCCTGGTGCCTCAGCGAGTGTAGACGCGCGGTCATCTTAACAGGCCGCGACGGCCCTCGGCTCAGATCGCAGCACCCTACGTGATTGGCTGGACGACTGGTCGGCTGAGATTCTCAGCATCTCGCGGGCGGTCTGCGATGGTCAGACCAGACTACCACCACCGGACCTTCCTTTTTTTTTTCCTTGCGACTTATTGTTGGCACTGGCTAAACGATACACGGCCGACTAATCACTGTTGTACCATGCTCTCGAGAGCGCCTCGAGAGATCGATAGCGAACGAGAAGTCCGAGTTCTCACAATTGGCGATGATCGAAGCCCGGTCCTGCCTATCTGGCGCCGCAAAGTGCACTTGCAACGCCGACACGGGGACCAACAATCAACAACGTGCCTCAGAGAGGAAGAAAGTTCCGTGAAAGTTTACGCCACCCAGGTGGCTTGCACACCGGCGCACACGCCGCGCCACGTGGTTAACCACGCGTCGCCGACCACTTGTCACTCGCGGCGCGGGATGGCTTTCTCGGCGAATCCTTGCCGGATTCTCCGATTCGTTCCGAAAATTGTCTCACCAAGTGCGGCCCGAACGGTCAATGAATTGACCGAAACGCACTTATTCACAAGTATTCGTACGGCTGAGTAAACGTCCTGCCGTTGCTAAATCTTTTTGACAGCGGCGCGCTCGATCGCGCACTTTGTCAAAGTGTCAATATCGAGTCGAGTCACTCGATCTTCCCTCCGAAAAAAATCCTGTGTCACGAGGCGTACACCGAACACTTCCGCTCGCATCGAGCTCGCGAATCGCGAATTCACGAGCGTCGAACGCAAACGGAGGGAGGAGGGGACTTTTTCCCTCGTGCGGTTTTCTGTAAACACGAAGATCGATCTCGATCCGTCACACTATATGTCAGATAAGACAGCGATGAATGCACGCAACGTGTGCGACTTGGCTGCAAGAGCGTCCGCGTATCTCACGCGACGAGCGCCGGTGACGGACTGTGAGGCGGCGAGCGGTAGCTGGCGGCTGTACGCGGCGCGCGAGCTTGGCGCGCCGAGGCCGCGCGTCGGCAGCGCGTCGGCAGCGTCGGGAAGAGAGAGAGGAGGGCTTGCGTCGTGGTTGGTGTACGTGGAGAGCAGGGGACACCAGGGAGCACACGGATGGCTCGCCGCTCGGCGTCGGTCGGAAGGCTCGCTTGCCTGCTCACGCGCGCCCTTGCCTGCGGCTACGTGCGGTCGTCTCCTCTTCTCGTTCTCTTCTCCCTCTCTCTCGCGTCTGTCCTCGTCGCGTCGTCGTTTCTCTTTCTCCTTTTCTCGCTCTCTCTCTCTCTCTTTCTCTCTCTCTCTCAGGGCCGTTTATTGCCTAGCCACCGTGAAGCGGCGTCGAAGCAGGAACTCCGATTTGGATATCAGCATATCTTTTTTCTCTCTCCCTCTTCCTTTCGGCGACGCTTATTCTTTTTTTTTTTAATCGATGCCTGTTCGACTGCTTCCTTCCCTTTGGGTTTCGAGTAAATGAGGATTAAAACTCTACTGGCTGAATGCGTTTATGCGGAGACGAGACTCACGTTTCTTTCTGTATCGTGCAAGCGAGACTCCGTCGGTTTGACATACACATTCGCAAGTTGATCGCGTTATCTGATACTTTTCGGTATCGTTTTATAGTTGTTAAAAGTTTTAAGTCCATTTCGGACAAAAGTAATATGGCAATCAAGCGAAAGAAGCGGCAAATTGGCGCTCGAAGCGCAACCGAGTTTCCTGTTTGCCCGGAGAGATCATCTACCCGGAATGTGCCTGATTTAGCTGACATTTAGCGGGTCGCGTTCGATACGGGTTCTATGCATCGCCGTGAAGTAAGCGGCGTGCTGTTGCGTTGCGAAAAAAAAAAAAAAAAAAAGGAAGAAAAGGAAGAAATCCATCGTGCCTGAGAGAAAAGATGAGCCGCGCGCCGCCGCTCCAACGCAGGAGCGCGGCACGCGATAAGGGCTGGGGACGCGCGGGGGTCCGCGGGCGCACGTCGGCCTTTAATCTCCTCGTCTCGCAACGCGCGCGAAAAGGCGGACGGGCGGCGGCACGTCGTGTGCGACTGAACAGCCGCAAGAGGAGGCGGGACGGAGGAAGGGATGAAAAACGCCGAGGCGACGGGTCGCGGTCGGCGGCGCATGGTGCGCAGGGTTAGGGGAGGAGAGGAGCGAGGGGGAAAGCGAGAGAGACGACGTGGCGGTGGGAGCTCAAACCGTGCCGCCGTGCTTGGCTCGCCGAGGCGATGAGCCTTCAGGGCGTCGGTCGTTCCGGCGGGCGACGGGAAGGGGACGGAAACGTGCGGTGGGAAGCGCGAGGGAGCGAGGCGGCTTCGCCGTCGTCGGCACGCGCGCCACGAAGCGCGCGCGTTACCCACACGGCCACGCGGTTCGCCGAAGCGTGCGCGTGCGACGAGACTGTATGTGCAGACAGTGCGTACCGCTCGAATGTATGGGTGAGCGGAGCGGTCAGGCGACCCATCATCAACACACACACACACACGCATATGTGCACGCATACGCGCGCGCGCGCGCGCACACACACATGCATGCGCGCTCGTGGACGTGCGTTGGCTAAAATCGCGGAATTTCGAATGAAAACGGTCATTATTTCGGTAACGTACTTTTTGATTGCGCCACGGATGAAGAGAGACACGGTATCGCGAGACACGAGAACGATTAACGCGCGTTTACGGTGAGTGCCTCGTGTAATGACACCGTGCGCAAATATATCGGGTATCTTGCAAAGCAGATTTGCAAAAATAGATAATTGAGTCATTTAATTGAATGATTTTACATTCGCGTCGTGACGTTTTGGAAAACTGCGGAATGCGGATGCCCCGCGATTATTAATTCTGCTCGCGCCTTTCTTATTCCAAAAAACCCGCTTTATTAGAATGCGACGGAATATGAGCACAAGCACTTCCTTGCAAGTATAAATGCTATAAAATACTGTAAGTACAAATACTTTTTTACATTACACTAGAGCTTATAGATCTGTTTGGAATAATATAAAAAAAAAAAAGTACGAAAATGAGTCCATTTTCCTTCATTGAAAAAACGTCAGTCTCTCTTCCGTATCTTTCTCATCTTGTATGCGACTAGCCGCGGGTTCCAGCGGAAGCTGATTCGAAGCGAGCGGAATCAGCGAGCGAGTTTTTAATTTAAAATCCGATTCGCCGTCCGCCGTTGTTACCGTGCTCTCCGCTTGCCTCGTATCGACCCGGTGCATCGATAAGCAACGGCTCCGCGCTGTGCATCGCGAGTCACGCCGAGCGAGGGACCCGGGATATTTTTCATCGCGTCTCCGCCGTGCCTCGGAATAATAGCATCCAGCTCGTGTACACGGTCTCTCCTTAGTTACGCCTTCCTCGTTTCGCTCGCCAAACGCTCGCCTTTCCACCTCCGCCGCACGTTCCTTTTCGCTCGTTCTCGCGTGCTACCTGGCACTCACACGGGAGAGCCGCAAGATTCCATGAATGTGAAAAGTTGTTCTGTTGAGCGAATAGTAGCCGAGAAAAAAAAAGTAAGAAGAGAGAGAGAGAGAGAGAGAAAAAGAAAACAAGAGTTATTTTCTTATCCGTAGTAATCGAATGATCTATTCACGCTCATCAGAATCATTTTTTGCAGGCGGGTGAAAAAATGTTTTTCCGCCCCTTGTACTTGGCTTCCGTTTGCCAAGCTCGAATAATAGTTGAACATCTTTGTGTCGATATCCCGAGATAACAATACAAGTAGTCTGTTCGTTCGTTACCATTCTAAATTGCCTTAGTTATCTTAGATTCCGCCCGTGGGATTCCGCGAGTTTCTCAATTGGTTTTTTTTTTTTTTATATATGCATTCGATTGCGTTCTTTGTGTAACTCGCAAATGTCGCACGGGGCACAATTTGCCATCGTCGCGCTTCAGAGTGACAATTACGCGCTGTAATATGCGCGTTGAAACCAATGTAACTAAAAAAATACAAGTTTTACGCGACGTTTATTTTGGAGAAGTCAAATCATTCGGTCGCTACATATCGGTGATTGAATTTTACGAGAAATCGAGTAAATGTTTAAAATTCTGATGTTCATTTCATTCAATTGCGCAGCATGTAACCCGTGTTTTTATCAATTAATAAATCTCAATGGATCAATGTTGCGATTTATATAACTTTTTATAAATCCTCGGCCAATGTTATCTTTCCATCTTTCACTTTTATCCAGCTAACGGCGAGCGATCCGGGGATTGGAACAAAATCGCAGCGGGTGATCGCGATCGCTGCAAAGCCCGGCGCGCACACAGCTTGATGAAAACTTTCGGGACACGCCGTAGGCGGCCGGCACGGCGGAGGCGCGATGACGCGCGGAGAGTCCATCCCACTGTGGGAATCCCACACAAGGCAAGGCTCGCACGCCGCCGGATAGATAGATGGACGTATATACCTATGTACGCCGCGCCCCGAGTCGGGCTCGCCTCTGCGAAACGTGCCGCGCGAAACTCGCTTGACCGCACCTACCGGGTGTCCTCGGACGAATGGAAGGCATTTACGCAGAAATGTCGGCACTATCTTGCGCATTGATCTTGATAGCGTCTGCGAATTTCCGATCGAGCTTGAGATATTTTTCGAAAAACATTTTTCGCGGACGTGTCTGTGAAAAAACGATGGATTCGTAGCTAAAAGCGATATATTTCGCAATGGTGTTTTGATATGATAATTCATACGCTCACTCTTGCGAAATTCGCCCCGTAGCTTTTTGTCAGCACTATACATTACTCTTCAACTTAATTGATATTAATATTATATGTTACTTTCGTGCTCTCGAGACGTCAATGTTAAGTTCGCCGAAAAATTTTTTGTCATCAACGTCTAAACTGGAGAGATATATCGAACTAATTCGTAAATATATATAAATCTCTTCGGGCGAAATATATTTCCGTGCATTTTGGGTCGTAATAAAGAAAAATACGCTTTATCCAGTCAGTAATTAGAATTTATGTCGGAATTGGATGTCGTAAATTATAAATATTTTGTAAATCGTAAAGAAATCGATGATTTTTCGAGAAAGATTTTTAGATCCGATCCCCACGACAGATTAATTAATTAACCGCTTCGCGAATTATCCCGTCTTCAATTTTCGTTGCATGAAAATCTCTCATTAGCACGATCGGGAACGCGTTTAAGAAGTCGAATCGCGTCCGCGCGAGAGTTCCCGACTCCGATACCCCGATCACGTCTCTCGACCAAAAAGTGCCTCGCCCCTCGCAGACTTCCTCCTTCCTTTCACCTTGATTCCACGTATCCCACGTGTATTTCCCTCCTGCTATATCGCATCCCATCCCCTTCGAAATCTCGACCGCGCGCATCGAGCCGCATAGATACGTGACATACTTCGACGATGGCAGCTACATACTAGAATTCTATATCGCAACAAAATAAGTTATGCATTTCCGCATAAGCGACTGACTAAAGTGTCTTATGACGATGATAATTGGCATACCGATAATTCAACTTCTATTTAAATAAGAATTTATGTAAAAGTTGGGAGCTGAAATAGAATCACTTTAAATCTTGCATTATGTTAAGTATACGTTAAATACATATGCCGAATTTTATTAAATATAGATGTTAAATATATATA